ACCGTCTGAAACGACGGAGAAGGAAGACAGGACCGGCCCTGAGAGCGAGCATGCTTAACACACGCCGAGCCCAGCGCGCGGGCAGACGCCTTCACAGACGTGTTCCGCACGGCCGACCGCCTGGGCATCAACTGGCCAAACACAAGCAAGACCCTGGGCCGGGCTGGCAGGAAGCGGGAAAAGGCTGTGTTCACCGCGGGGCGAGGGTCTATGTAACTGACGAGGCCTGGCTCCCAGGGGCGTTGCCGGGACAAGCTAAAGGGCGTCGAAGGACAGTCATCAGGCCGGGCGGTGCCTCCAGGTACCACGCGACACGCGGGAGACCAGGTCCCCCAGGTGACTGGGCCGATCCCCAGGGCTGTGCACACTCTGCTCTGCTGGTTGGGACCCCCGCCCGACCTCACCACTGCCCGCTTTGTGGTCTTGGTCACTCGTGGGCCGGACCCACGGATGGAGTGGAAGGGCTGGGACCACGGCTCTGCCACGTGACCGGCAGCCACGGACGCTCCTTCCACCAAGAAGCAGCGACACCGAGCGCAGGGGGCCGTCCTCGGGGGCTGAGCACGTGTGAGCTGCCTCGGGCACGGGTGAGGGATCCGAGAGCGTTGGGGTCTGAGGCCCGGATGCACGAGGAGGCCCACGGAGCCGGCCCCTCGGTGTCCCCTGCCGCCGGGCGGGGGCGTGGAAAACACCAGGCGCGCCGGGACCCGTGCGCTCTGGAGCCAGGGCCCGCCCCGCGGGGTGTTCGTCCCCCGGAATGTGATGGCGGTCGGCGATCGGGCGGGCTGGCAGCCACCATCGTAGTAAACAACCTGGTGTGCGATGCTATCTCGAGATTCACTAACAAACCGTCAGTGTCGGGTAAGTTAAGCTTTCCTAGTACGTGAAATCGGCCTGCACGTGTGGCGCCCACGCGGGGAACATCGAGGCACGTGGTTTCGTGTCTGCTCTGCTCTGTGGGGTGACCTGTACCCCCCAGTACCAGCCGTCACGGCCCGCAACCACCCCGGGGGCTGAGACGAGGTGGGGACACCCACGAGTCCGCCCTGCAGGGCACGGGCTCTCTCCCAGGAACCTGTGGGAGGAAGCGCGTGTGCTGTCACCAGCGAGCAAACCACGGCCACTCTCTGAACGCCCCTCTGGGGGCCAGGCACGCGTCCTCACGACTTCTGAACCCCACGCTGCTTCACAGCACGTCGCGGGGACCCGCCCCTTTGGGCTCAGGACGTCCACCCTGTTGATTTTTCCTCAACCCCGCGGCCTGCTCTGGATTTGCAGGACTTAAGAAGGCAGCCGGTGCCCCTTTCGGCCCTGACAAAAATCTCTGGATAACCAGTCCTTGGAGGTCTCCTGGCAAGTGAGAAACCAAACGCAAGCCGGCCTTTCTGCCAGATGCCCAGCGACGTGGACGCTGGAGCTGGGGGTTCTGAGCCTCGGGGCCACCGCTGGGCACCTGCCTGTCCACTGTCCCGCAAGTCACCAAAACTCCGTAAAATGGCTGGGATGCTCATGAAATCGATCTTGAAGAACTTGGCAGCTGCAAACTTCACGAGGGGCCCTCGTGGGAACACCTCACTTTGCGGGAGGGCGAGTTTCCTGGGGAAAGCTCCATGCGAACGCGGGGGGCCCGAAGCCCTCTCTTCACAGCATGAATGCGTCTGATTTTTAAATCGTCTGTTGGCGAACATTCCTGGGTGGCATCATACACCAGATTGTGTCACATCGCGTTACGCCACGTTACGTAACATTACACTGTTATATTCCATATAGATGTATTTAAGAAAACTAAGGGTAAAATAAAAATAAACGTAATTCTGTCCGTCGCCATGAAGAGGAGGAAGGGGCGGCTCTAAGCGGTGAGCACGCCTCCGAACAGCACGGGGTCGTGCTGGACGCGCAGTAACGGCCTTGGGACCACGGGGACAGGCTTCCCGCCCACACTGCAGACTGCTCCGGTCACAGAGGCATGACGGTGACAGAGGATGGCCCGGGCTCCCAGGCAGCTTGCTGGACGGAGCTGCTGCACGGGCTTTAGCGGGGTCCGCAGCGAGCCCGGGCTGTGGCTCGGGGGGCCTCTGCTGCTCACCACTTCCTGCTTTGCCCTCGAAATGCTGCCGGGTCTGAAATCACACCCTGGGCAGCGTCCCGGGTGCAGAATGAAAACCCACCTTCCCACGACGTGCGTCAGCCTGCGGGGGGTCTAGCTCGGGGCACCGAGGCCCCTCCTGGGAGGCCGTGCTGCGGAGCACAGAGCCGGAGAACGGAAGGGAGGGACCAGGGAACGGCGCGCGAGAAACGTGAACGCACTGCCCGCCACGTCAGGCGCAGCCCCCGGGGCTCTCCCTGCTCCTCTGCACAGTCCGTCCACTCGACCGAGACGGCTGCCGAAGCAGCAGCGTCACCCAGACTTCCGAGCATGCGGCGTCCGTGTGCGCGAGGATGTAAGGAGCGGGGAAAGGCCCTCTTCCTACGCTTCACCCTCTGCAGTTCGAGGAACGCAGTTCTGGTGGGAAGAAGCGTAAGGGGCGCGAGGCGCTCAGGCGGCACAGAGCCCGTCACAGAAGGACGATGCCTTCCGAGGGGACAGGGCACCTGCCCGAGGGCCCGAGAAAGAGAGGAGTCAAAGATGCTTCGGGGGGCCACTTCTACTGGGGAAATAAACGCCCTTCAGGGCAGAGACCCCAAACACAGCTTTGTGCCTGTCGGCTCGTTTGGAAACTGGAGGTGACAGCAGCTGTAGGGACACGTACCACCTGTGGTTGAAATGGACCTTTCTCCCCCAGCCCAGGAACGGGCCAGCGTCCAAATGAAGATAATGCCACAAATGAAGTAGCGTAGAAATCACATCTGTTCAAACTGAGGCACTGACCGAAGCTTGGCTTCCGAGTTGGTCTGTGTTTCTCAAGGAAGCGTCTCAGAGCGAGAGACGCAAGTGAACAGAACAGGGCTGGAGGGGACGCTGGCAGGTGGGGAGCCACTGGACTGGCCGGGGACGAATTCGCGATGTTGTCACCCACAGGATGTGATCCACGCCCCCGTCCTGGTCGCCGTGGGCCTGGTGACATTCCTGAGCCACGCGGGATGCTGGTCTCACAGAAGGGCCGAGGATGGCGGGGGCGGGGGGCGCGAGGCTCCTTCAGGCCCGTTTCCCTCCGTCCCCGGCCAGGCTACCGTGAACGAGCGAATGCCTAATCTAATCTCCTACTTCTATAGAACTGCTGCTAAGTGAAGAGATGATTTTACTGAACGTGGGGGACAGAAAGTCGAGCCTTGTTTCAGTGAACTTTCCCACACCCCGTTGTGTTCTGCATGTTTTCATGAGGCGTGGGAAAATTTAAGAAACGATTCTCTAATATTATAATGAGAATCTTGAAATATTTGGCCAAGTGCAACTGACACAGGGTTAGAACTATAATTATACTACAATATAAAACATTCACTGTAAAGAGCTTGCTTTAAACTGTCGCTATTCATAACGCTGGCTTAAAACTCAGATGCCTGCAACAAAGCAGAGCACCCAGATCAGGGGACCCCAGACTGCGTGGACAAGAATTACGGGGACAACTCGTGAAAAAGTCTAAGTCTGGGCTCTGACCCCAGGGGTTGACTCAGCAGGGAAGGCACAGGGCTCAGGAACCTGTTTCTAATTACAGCCCCCGGAACACACAGGTGGTCCCGAGGCAGCCTCGGTCTGGCCCAAGTGGTCACTACTGCCCTGCTGGCAATGGCGACCTGAGCCCGGGTCCCCTCACCCACCCTCTCGGCCTGGAGCCCACTCACCCCTCGAATGGCCTCACCTGGGGGGGCTCTCGCCGATGGTGTTCAGGTCTCTACCTATTTGGTCTACGCGTTTACTGTCCTGGGTCGTTGGTTACACGCAGAGGGGAACTCGTGCCTTGTTTGTTTACTGGCCGGGCGGCTCGTGACCTGAGCACAGAGAATGGCATCTCCTTTGCCTGCCCCCGGCCTGCACTTGTGGAAGACGTCACGATGTGAGACCTAAGACTTCAGTGTCACCTTGACGTCTTTGAGTTCGTGGCCCCAAAGGCCTGAGCACGAGTCCCCTGGCCTTGACCGGTGTCCCCTGACCCAGAGGGAAAGTCTCTCCATCCCGGCCCCCTGCAGGCTGGATCAGCTGCGCCCCAAGGGCCCTCGACCCAGGGGCCACAGACCCCCGCAGCAAGCCCAGCCCGCCCCGTCACCACGAAGCTGCCCCCACAGCCCCGGCTGGTTCACGCTGCCCTGAGCACAACCCCGAGTGACCCAGGTGGCGTGTGTCCTCCCGGGCTGAGGAGCACGTGACCCACGCACCTCGCCACGTCACCTGCCTAGTGACGGTGCCAAGTGCTCAGCCGTCTCTCGCTGTTCCAGACACAGGATTGTCCCCTCGCCCACGTGAGGGGAGGTGGTCGGAGTGGACACAGAGGAGCTCGGTCCGCGTGCTGCTGGCTAGGTGGCCGTGCGCTCGGCATTGAGATTTAGGACACTGGCTTTGTTCTGACCTGCGTAGTGCTGTGTGGGCAGGTGGGCGGGCGCCGGGCAGTGCGTGTGGCACCTGCACCCCAGGCACAGGACCACCAAGGGGACAGCACGGCCGCACCCCATGTTCCGCTCACGGCCAAGCGGGCCCGTCTGAGTGACGGAGCTGGCCGATGTACTGTCCACGCTCGGCTGTGACACCCTGGTCCTGCTCTCCACTCGGCGACAGCGAACACGTGCGGAAGGGTGCCCCTCGCGCAGTGTGGCTCTTCTGAGGGCGGTGGAAAGCTCGCGGGGACGTGTTTACGTGTTCACGGCCAGAGCGCTGTGTCTGACCCGCTCCCGTGGAGGCGCCGTCCGGAGCAGGGCGGCAGGCGGGGGCACGTGGACTCGGGTCCCCGGCCGGCACATGCCGCCCGCACACGCCCCCACGCGGCCACCCCGTGCGAAGCCCTCACCTTTTAAGGTCGCTTTCTTCAGGACTTTCATCGCGTAGAGCTGTCGGGCGTCCGACCCCTTGACCTTCCGCACCAGGAACACCTTACGGAGAGAACACAGAGCACCCGAACGTGACACGACTTACTGCACTTTCCTACCTGATGAGACAAGGGGACACCCAGGAAGTTCAGAAAAGTTCCAGTAATACACA